CCACTTCTACAAGCAAATCAGACCCTAAACTTCTAATTTTCCCACATGCAACAATAACTTGAGGGAAGCTCTAGCAGGCAGGTTAGCACAAGCATTGGCGCATAAATTGGTCCCTCTGCCTTTTCCTTTCCCAAGTGTTAAGCCTCAAGCACCCCTCCCCAAAGAAGTCAGTCAGAAGGGACCAGCATGGGGTTGTGATCTGCATCAGCTAGTATTTGAAAACTATTTTGCTAATCCCCTGCGTTGGATGTTGAATATTCTCTCTCTCTCAGCCCCCATTATACAATCTGTTACCCCTGCAAGCACCTGGCTCTGTGACATGGTGGCATCTGTTGACTGGGCACAAATGATACAAACACCTAGCTCTCCAGGGTCCTGGATCTGTTTTGGATACAGCGCCGGCAATGAAGGGGATACTGTCTGTATCTGCAACGTTATTACAATTAATGGATTCACCTGCCCCCTGGTGATTTCCTCTCCTCCTCACCCCACCACTTTGTGAATGCAGCACTTCCAAACTGGTGCATGTTAGGGCTCCTGCAGTGGTCTGTCAAGGCACCAAGCTAACAAGGCTTTGTGTTTGTCTCTGACATCCTGCCTATCTCTTGTGATAAAGAGCTTCCTCTTTTCCAGGGTGTCCTTTTCAAGTGCTGCTTTTTCGTTTTCATTGTGTTTATGATAACAACAAAAATCTCCCCTTCCGTGACCTTTGCAATAAAAGAAAAATAAACTGTTCTTTCCCAACCAGGTAATTATTTGTAATTAATTTAGCAGGAATTAATTGCTGAACTGCAGCTTGATCCTGATTTCTTTGCTCACTCATGAGAAGTGTTGCTGGCTATTAATTTTTTTTGCCCTCTGCTTCTGTGTATTTCTCTTCTGGATTTCCTTTTGTATCTTGCTTTTATTATGTAGATGTGATCTTTTTTCTCTTTTGAAAATTCTCATTCTAAATGATTATTTTTGTTTTTTAAGTGAGAGTTATATAGCTAGGGAGGCCTTTTTATTTTATATTTTTAAAGTTTGTTTTTATTTTATTTTATTTTGGCACTGGTATTCAGCAATCTGTCTGCTTTGCATTTGGATGGTCTGATCCGCTGGCAGAGTGAAGTCATGTTAATTGGTAAATTGATGCTACCTGACAGAGCAGCTGAGCTCCGGGTCTTTAAAAATTTTGAACTTCTTAAGATGTAAAATATCTGTCACTTGAGTGCTTTAGCACAGGCTAAACATGGAAATTTGCATGAGGCTTAGAGGAAAATACAGACCAACCACAGCATTTCAGAGCTGTAAGTAGTTTTGTTTTTTTTAAATTGGTATCGTCTGTGGTGGTGATAATAGTTCCATAGAGCTAATCCCATCTCAAACGGCACACTGTTTAATATTGTTATAGCACAGAGGTTCCTGTCAGAATCTGGAACCCATTGTACTAAGTCCAGGGCAAGCACATAGTTACAGGGAGTCCCTGCCCTGAGGAGAATATATTCTAAAAAAGAGAAGGGACAGACAAAGAAAAGGGGTGCTACATACAGCCAAGTGGACAGATGGTGATATGCATGTGTCTGGCTAGTTCATTTTTGTGTGTGTTGTTGGGGGTTTTTGCCCCCCAGGATGAGTAACAGAAGAAAGGTATGGGGAGAGAAACATAAACAAAATACAGTATTATGTACCTGTGATGTATTTGCATTTCAGAAACAGAACATACAACCTACTAATCACTTCAGCTGTAAACTCTTTGAAGCAGGAACAGTCTCTTTGTTATCTGTACGGTGCCTAGCACAATGAGGTCCCGGACGATTGCTGTGGCTCCTAGGCACTGATGCAATAAAAAATAAATAATAACAGCTAAATAAAACCCGATGTTGGCTACCCCCCATTTCATCTGAAAAGTTTGTGTTGGCTTAAGGCTGAGCAAAGGATTTCAACCCAGGACTCCTGGGTTCTATGACTGACTCAGTGACTGCCTCACTATTTGAGTTTGGAGGCAAGTCATTTACCATATCTGAGTGAAATTTACTTCACCTTCACTCCCCTCCTCCCCCACAAAACCTTACTCTTTGGGCTTTGTGCAGTGCGGTTAGATCCAGCCCCACAAATCTCAAACAGAGGCCAAGGTACAAAGTGATAAAGCGAAATATTTTTTCACACAATGGATAATTGGGCTGTTGAACTCATTGCTGTAGGAGGTCATTGAGGTTAAGAATTTAGGAAGAGTCAAAAAAGGGTTGGGACATTTATATGGATCACAAGAAAATGCAGAATTAAAATAGATTATCTTAACAGAAGCTTTGAAGGGATAGTGAAGCTCATGCTTCAGGGTTTAAACTAATCTCTTACTATGAGAGATTAGGTGGAGACCAACTGCAGCAAATCATCGCGCATCTGCCTGCTGTAGGGTTCTTATACTTTCTCCCAAAGAATCTAGTCCTGGCAACGGTCAGAGAAAGGATATTGGACTAGCGGGACCTTGAGTCTGATCCAGTTTGGCAATTCCTATGCTCCTGTTCCTGTACAACTGACCCACTCCAGCATTCATTTGTTCAGCCTACAGGATCCTTTGCAGCATTTCCATGCATTGTTAGCCCATAAGGTCATGTTTCTGTATTGCTGGCAGCTCTCTCCAGCTGTCTAAGCTGTGGCATTTATGCGATGTGCAGGCCTCTCCCCCCGCCCCCCCCGGCCACCAGGGTGAATATGATTCTGCGTTCAAGTGGCTAAAATGGGCTAAAATTGAATATGCAACGCATGATTAATGGGGGTAAGCACTTTGAGATCTGCAGGTGTAAGGGTATGTACTGCTGCAGAAGTGTGATGGTATTATAAGTGTATCTTATAAAGAATTACATAGGTCAACCCAACCTGAGAGAGAACTACTAGAGAGCGAAAGAGTTTTTTGTAGGATTGAATGGTTGAAGTTTCCAAAATAGTCTAGGAGATTTACACACACATCTGCCACTTACAATTAATAGAAGATGCATGTCTAAAGCCCTTAGGCTGCTTTGAAAATCTCAGCCTCATTTCATTTCAAGGGGTCATTTAAGGTGAAGTTGTCCATTAACACCCCTCTGGTCATAGTGGGGGAAAGTGCGGGCGACGGAGAGGATGGAATGCATCGGTTGCGGGTGGGGGGGGTGGGGGGTGGGGGTTGGGTTTGCTAGTTGGCCACTTCACCTTGAATGGTCCCTTGAAATATGTGTTAATAACTTACGCTAAACAATCTGTTCCACCTTGTATTTAGCTGGGACACTCAGAGTACCTTTCCCAGACCTGAAGAGCTCTGTGTAAGCTTGAAACTTGTCTCGCTCCCCAACAGAAGTCGGTGCAATAAAAGATATTACCTCACCCACCTTGTCTCTCTCATACCCTGACTGTGACACGGCTACAACAACACTGCATTATTAGTGGTGTCACTTAAAGTTTATACAGGAAATCGCTAGGGTTGTTTGATGTTTTTGGTTTTTTGGTTTTTGTTTTTGCTATCTTTCCCTGATTTAGACATACTCAGCAGTCCAAAAATTATTATCCTGAAGGAACCCCAGTAATCTTGGCCAGTTAGTGTTTTATACTTTGGTTATTGAAAAAGACTGCAGGTAACTTTAAGAAATATCTTCTCCATATCTTTCTACTCTGAGATCTGGTTGCTTTTTTCTCTCTGATTACCAGATGTAGATTACCCAACCACTGTAGCCTTCTGTTTCTCAGGTGCGGGGCTTCTTTTGTTCCCTTCCTCTTAGTTGTTTGTTCATTAATCATAGCAAACTTCAGGGATTGACCATCTAGATTGCAAATACTGTTTGTTTTTAATGTCTAAACTCATTCACTTCAAAATCTGACCCTACACGTCTCTGTGCTTGTTTCCCCATGTGTGAAATGGTGATGCTTACCTGCCTTGTTGTGAGGTTTAATGAAAGTGCTCTGAGGTCTTTGGAGTATTTTGCACTCCAACTACTATTATTTATGAAGTCTTTGTTTTCTACCTCTGCAGCCTTGGCTGAAATCCAGCCTAATTTTCAAAGTACTTCTGACCTTATCTTAGTCTCAAAAGGTACATAAATATATTCTGAGAACCTGGCATGAGGTGATATGGCTTGCAATTTCTGCTCTCTGGAAATTGTTTTTCCCCTTCACTTTTAAAGATCATCCAAAGCATGACTGACAGGTTGGTATGGGGAAACGTGCAGAGCTAAAATCTAGACTAGACATAGAGGGTTTAAAACCGTACTACGTTAAAGTGTACTAAGGAACCTTTAGTGCATTCCAGCAGGTTCTACACAGACCAATTAATACACAGTATGTTTGTGCGCTTTAGAAATCAAACCCCTGTAGAGCACATTACCTCACCATGTAGACAAACCCTCAGATAAAACTGGTATCCTAGTAAATCTAAACATCAGTTTTCAAGCCAGTCACATTCTTTTGTATAATGCTAATAGATGAATGTTTGCATGTTGTTTTGGGGCATACTTTTATGTAATTGATCAGATAATAGGCTGATCTTGTTCTGCCTTTTGGAAGGAATATTGTCAAGTCAGATTTTCTCCAAAATTTATACAAACTTTTACAAAATCTCATTGACAGAAATGTTTCTGTATTTTTAAAAAAAAATTTCAATGCGAGCCATTCATTTGGAAGGCTATCATATTCCAGTGCAGCAGCTGCATCCTATCAACCATTGTATTGTGCTAATGTATGAAAACCAGAAACTGAATCTGTTTCCTTCTTGCATTTCTCTTGGCTTCTTTAGTAAAAATAAGGAGCATAAATGGTGAAGAATAAATCAGATTTATAAAAACTCCTTCCACTCTACCAATCTAAAGCAGTGTCAATAACACAGATCAGGAAAGCCTAGCTTTTAAAGAGATGATTTTTTAAGGTGATGGTGTTTTGTACCAAACCTGACTAGCCCAGGATCATTTCAGTTTAATACACTGACATAAGGGCTGTAATATTGTGCGCTTCCTTTTGTTGCATTTTCCTGATGACAGTATCTTCTTCTTCAGCCTGAATCCCTACAGCTATGATGAGAACTGCCTCAGCAGTAGTGAAGACCACATCCCACTGGCTGCCTTGCCCTTGCTGGCCATTTCCTCCCCTCAGTACCAGGATGCAGTTGCCATGGTGATTAGCAGAGCCAACCAAGTTTACAATGAATTTCTCAAGTCTCCAGATGGGACTGGTTTTAATGGACAGGTAAGACTGTTTCCTCTTACATCAAAGAAAAATGCTTTGGGCAAGGCTGAGTTTCCATTATTTTAAGCCATTGTGTTGAGTGTATCAAGTTACTAGTATAGGGATGACGCAGCAAATAAGATGAAGCAGTGTTAGCATGGGAGGGCAAAATGTCTGTTAAGCCTCTGTGTACCTTTCCCAGACCTGAAGAAGAGCTCTGTGTAAGCTCAAAAGCTCTCTTTCGCCAACAGAAGTTGGTTCAATAAAAGTTCCTCACCCACACTCTCTCTCTGTTAACCCTCTGAGCATGTCCAGGGTGAACTAGAAGCTTCCTGAAACCTGAGCAGTGTCAGTTTGAGCTGGTAACTCCATGCAGTTAATAGAAAGACTGGACCAAAAGGTGTGAGAATATTGGAATTTTTGGTTCATTGGCAATTTAAAAAAGTTTAAAATCAATATTTGAGGTCAGACCAAAAACTAAAATCTGGAAATTTGTCAGCAAATTGAAAAGCTGAAGAAAATTTTTGTTGTGGGTTGAACAAAATTTGAAACACTTCATGTTGCAAATGTCAAAACAAAATGTTTTGCTTTTTTTTTCTGACTTGTTCTCTTCCCCCCTCCACCACCACTCCAAAGTGAACAATTAATCGAAACCAACACACATTCATGAAATGTTTTGGTGTGGTTGAATCTGCAATTCTCACTGGAAAAAGTTTCAGCTGAAAAATTTACTCCACTCTAGCTGTACCTTCTCTCCCAGACAGTCCAGTTCCCAAGTTTGTATAACCCCGTTGCAGATGATGGGAGTTGAGGGACCTCAGCACGTCTCTGATTAGGCCATAGGGAATTGAACATTTAAGTACTGGTGTCAAGGTTCCTCCCCCACTCTGAACTCTAGGGTACAGATGTGGGGACCTGCATGAAAAACCTCCTAAGCTTATCTTTACCAGCTTAGGTCAAAACTTCCCCAAGGTACAAAATATTCCACCCTTTGTCCTTGGATTGGCCGCTACCACCACCAAACTAATACTGGTTACTGGGGAAGAGCTGTTTGGACGCATCTTTCCCCCCAAAATACTTCCCAAAACCTTGCACCCCACTTCCTGGACAAGGTATGGTAAAAAGCCTCACCAATTTGCCTAGGTGACTACAGACCAAGACCCTTGGATCTTAAGAACAATGAACAATCCTCCCAACACTTGCACCCCCCCCTTTCCTGGGAAATGTTAGATAAAAAGCCTCACCAATTTGCATAGGTGACCACAGACCCAAACCCTTGGATCTGAGAACAATGAAAAAGCATTCAGTTTTCTTACAAGAAGACTTTTAATAAAATAAAAGTAAATAGAAATAAAGAAATCCCCCCTGTAAAATCAGGATGGTAGATATCTTACAGGGTAATTAGATTCAAAAACATAGAGAACCCCTCTAGGCAAAACCTTAAGTTACAAAAAAGATACACAGACAGAAATAGTTATTCTATTCAGCACAATTCTTTTCTCAGCCATTTAAAGAAATCATAATCTAACACATACCTAGCTAGATTACTTACTAAAAGTTCTAAGACTCCATTCCTGGTCTATCCCGGGCAGAAACCAGCATATAGACAGACACACAGACCCTTTGTTTCTCTCCCTCCTCCCAGCTTTTGAAAGTATCTTGTCTCCTCATTGGTCATTTTGGTCAGGTGCCAGCGAGGTTACCTTTAGCTTCTTAACCCTTTACAAGTGAGAGGAGCTTTCCCCGGCCAGGAGGGATTTCAAAGGGGTTTACCCTTCCCTTTATATTTATGACAACTGGTATCCCCCTCTCTTGTCACAGTGTCAGTAAAACACCGGGAGGAAGCATGATCTTATGCTTGAGGACTGGGGAGATCTGGGTTCAGATTTTGGCTCTGCCACACATTCCCTTGTGTGACCATGGGCAAATCACTCAGTATCACTGGGCCCGATACAAATCCCAATTAAATCAGCTCAAAGACTTGCATGGAATATATTGGGTTTGGGATCACCACTCTCCTGTAGCTACCTGGTCTCTAAATGGGGTTACTAATACTTCTCTACCTTATTTGAAGATACATTTATTACTGAGTGTGAAGTGCTTATAAACACTTGTGTGGGGGAGCCTTTAAAGGTCTAGATAGATACAGTTGTTTTAAGTACAGTGAGGTTTCAAAGGCTCTAAAAGAAGAAAAGATTTTTAATCTGAGAGTACAGTGTAATCTTCTGAGGAAAGCATGAGTTTTATTACACAAACAAATTGGTTTTTTTTTTCATAACAATAATAGGATTATGCTGTGGCATATCAGTTTTTTAAGCTAAAATTTGGTTTGGAGCCAGTTTAATATCCATAGTAAAAATGTTCTTGCTTGGAGCTTTTAAAAAAAAAACCCCGGCTACTATGACAGAACATTATGAAAGGTGAGATTATGCAAAGAAAAATTATACCAATTACAGAGATAATTATAAAACAGAGCTCTTCCAGTAGAAATTGAATGTTAAGAGGTTTGTTTTTCTTTAGGCCAAAGCTACAAAAAAGGCTCTTTTTGAAAAACGTCTATTGGAAATTCACCTGGGAGGGTGTAAACAATCTCAGTATATTTTGCATGTTTCCACCACACAGGAGAAGTGCTGATATCATTAGAACGAAAATGTGATGTCATTCTCTGTATTGTTCATGGTCCTCCATTTTGGCAACTGGATAAAAACATCCAATTCACCTCTAAATATATAGATCTCTAGTTATAAAATACGTACAGTATAATTAAGTGAAACTGGACTGGGAGTCGGGCCTTCAGTTCTATTCCCAGGTCTGCCACTGACCTGCTGTTTGACCTGAGCAAGTCACTTCATGTGTCTGTGCCTCAGTTTCCTCTCCCACCCTTTCCTCTCTTGTTTACTTACTTTACAAAATCTTCGGGGCAAAGGACTGCCTTGCTCTTACAGCAGGAGGGGCTAGCTGTCCAGACTATGTGCCCATCTCAGACTACAGGCATGTCTCAGGGTGGCTAGCCCCACCTGCCACTGTAGTGACATTCTATTTGTAGCACACTAGCTGTCATTGAGGTAATGCAGGTATGTCTCTTTGAGGTGGGAATCACATCCTGCTACTCTAACGCTCATAATCATCATTATTAAAATGAGAGTTGTCATGGTAAGTGCAGTGAGATGCCATTAATCCCTCACAAAACGTGCCATTCATGTAGTGTTACAGGTTCTGTGTAGCCAGGTGGATTTTCAGTTCTTTGTGGGGTGCATTGGAGGGGGTACTATTATTAAATTAAAAACTCATCTGAGATGTGGGAGAACCCTGTGTTGCTTGGTTCAGAGCAGTGACTTGAATCTGAGGCCTTGTCTACAGTGGCAAGTTTCTGTGCAGTAAAGCAGCTTTCTGCGGTGTAACTCCCGAGGCGTACACACTGCCAAGCCACTAAGTGCGCAGTAGCAGCGCTGTAAAAAACCCACCTCGATGAGAGGCCTAGAGCTTTCTGCGCCGGGGTACAGTGCCATGGTGCCAGTGTAGACATCCTGGTCGATTACAGTGCTGCGATTGGCCTCGAGGAGGTGTCCCACAATGCCTGTTCTTGCCTCTGGTCATGAATTCTACTGCCCTGCCCTCAGGTGACCAACCGTCAGCCCCACCTCTTAAATTCCTTGGGAATTTTGAAGGTCCCCTTCCTGTTTTCTCGGTGACACGGGCAGTGGGTCTCAGCGCATCTTTCCAGGTGACCATGCCAGCTCCACGCACCAGGCGATCCCCCGTTTGGGGCAATGTCGAGCTGCTGGACCGCATCAGCATTTGGGGAGAGGAGGGCTGTGCAGCCCCAGCTGTGCTCCAGCCATAGGAATTACAATACCTATGGACAGATTTCATGATGCATGACAAAACAAACAAAACTAATTCCCTTCTGGTGTAAAGCTGATGGAGGCAGCCCCTGTGCCACCCTTTGGCATAGGGAGCATGCTGGTGGGGAGAGGAGGAGTGGCAAAGTGGCTATAATGAGATCCACCAGAAACTTTGCAACCCTTGGCTGCTGCAGACTAGTCCCCAGGATCAGGGAGCTGTTATCAGGCTTCATGATGCCACCCCCCTTTGCCTCCTCTTTTGAGTCAGTGACTCTGGCTGGATAAATATCACTATGTAGGACTCACATGAAATCTCTTATTCTGGGCAGGTGTGCCTCATCGGTGACTGTGTTGGAGGAATTTTGGGGTTTGATGCCATCTGCTACAGTGCTGGCCCTGCGGGTGAGAGTCAGAACAGTAGCAGGAGAGGGAGCCTCGGCAGCATGCAGGTAAAACTCCTATGGGTTAATTCCCTGTACAGAAGCCAACTGGCACTATGAAGCAGCTGTCTGCGAGAACAAATACAAAGCGTTGGTAAATTGCAGTAGTGCTGAATATTTCAGCTGTTGTTTTCAAGTAAAAAGTCATTGATGTATAGGAAAACTTTCCAACTTCGGGTTTATGATGCTTGCAAGTCGTTAACAAATGCTTTTTTGGCAAATCCATGGGGTGAGGTCATGGAGTGCCTTTCAGTGTATCCCTATTTGTGATTTTAAGGCACCCTCTCCCAATAATCTGTCAGCTCCTGTCTATTGCTAGAATCTACTGTTTTTCATTTTCCCCATAGAGTCTGGAATTCTTAATGCTGCTGCTAGAGGCTAATGTCGCATTAAGACATGCTTTAATGGCTCATGGAAAGCATGCCTTGGTTACACTGGGGAATGCCAGTCAGCTGAGGGTCTTGTGAATGGAGCACTAAGCACACTCCGGAGTCTCTAAATGAATCCTATTCTAATGAGAAACTCTAAATTCAGATAATTTTTGAGACATAAATGTGCTTTAGAAAGTAGTTTGTGATAGAAAAAAGCAGAATTAGGTTTTTTATTACTATTATGTTCATATTTACGTTGCATTATTGATGTACCATTCAGAAAAAAAGATCAAAGATAAATTTAACTAATCTTATGTAGTCTGAACAAAGTTTCTCAGGCCTTGAGAGGCAGTGGGTATGTCTTCACTGCACACTAAGCCTGGGTTGTCATTCTGGTTTAAGCCCAAGCTCCCCCTTTTGTCCATATGCAAATCAGTCTGATTCGGGTCAGCAAGCACTCAGGCCCTGGATGCTAGGACCCTGCTAGTGGGGTTGGTCAGGGCCCAAGTCATAGTGTGACTTGGATCCAAGCCCTGTTGTTTTGTCGTGTGGACACAGCTCAAGCCCCAGACTCAAGTCGGAAGATCTGCATAGTGCAATATGGACATGCTAGCATGGCTGTGAGGCCTGATCCAGCAATTGTAAACCCAGGTTTACAAAGCAGTGTGGACACTCAAGTGCAGGCTTGAAAATACCGAGTCCACAAGCCCAGGTCTCACAGACCCTGGTTTACAATGCAGCGTAGACGTGACCAGTTGACAAGGTAGTGGACTAGGTAGGGTTCAAGAGATGGGGGTTTTATTCCTGGCTCTGCCATGGGCCTATTATGAGACTCTGAGCCAGATACTTCATCTTTTGGCTCCTCAGTTTCCCTATCTCTACAACGTGGATAACGTTTCTGACTTCTTTTGTTCAGCACTCTGAGATCTATGGATGAAAAGTGCAATATAAAAGCTAAATGGTATTTTTATTAAGAAAAAAAGACCGCCTCCTAATACTTGTGGGAAAGGAAATATTCCTAAAACAAATTACCCCATAGCTACATTGCTGAAATTTCTCTGCAGCTAGCCATTCTAGTACTGAACATTGTCGTGTCACTCAACACCGTTAAGAATTGAAAATCATAGGTCCCTGTCCTGCAGTTGGATGCCCAAGCGCTTCAGTGGGATTCCGCAGGGACCATCATGAATCCTACCGCAGGATTGGATCTTGGAAGTGCAAGTTATTGATACTTTTTTAAAAAACTGACATATTTTCAGCATAACAATCACCCTTTTGGCTTGGCCATGTAGCTTGACTCTCATCGTTCCCTTCACTGTGTTCCCTTCTTCCTCCTCCTCTCCTCCTTTATTTCCCTTTTCTCTTCTCTGTATTTACTTCTTGTCATGATCCCCACTTTCCTCTCCCCCTGCCCACACTTTTTTCTTTTTATTCCCCCTTTCCTTTTCATCCTCTCTCACCACACCTATTCATCTATTTCCCCCCCACAGCAGGAAATATTAAACAAACAAAACAAAACACTTGGATGAAATCCTGGCCCTATTGAAGTCAAAGGCAGTTTCATCCTTGGTATATCATCATCATCGATTGGAATTTGTGCCTGGTCTATACATCTATCCAGTCTTTATGGGTGGCTTGGGGTGCTTTGAACTTTTCCCTTCTCTTACACAGACAGATTGAGAGCGCTTAACTAGGAGACCAATTTGTTTCCTGGAGTAGAAGGTCAAAGCGACTTCGCTGAGTGCAGAGTACAGTTGAGCAAAACAGTCAGCCTACAGGCAGGGGGACATGGCATTTGTCTGAATTTTGGCAATCTGAGCAGTGCTGGTAGGAGCAGAATGTCCTTATGTGAGAGGAAAAGATGCTAGTTTATCTGTGCAGCATTTATTTTTATTATATTTCACCTACAAAGCAGACTTGTGTAAGATCAACTGAAAGCAATTGTAAGGAACCTTTCGAGCTTATTCAGTTGAATTTAGCACTTGGTACCGAAAGATGCTCAGAAGCTGTTGCCAGGTGCTTTAGTGCCTCTCAGGACTGGGGCATGTGAGGAGGAGATAGTTGTAAATGATATCTCTGTTGCTTGTGACCGAAAGTTGGTACTGATGTTGGTTTGCTGGCCTGGGCGGAATATGAGTTTAGTGTTCTCCAAACTTTGAGATGAGGGCCATATTAATTTTTGAAGGGGTTTCACGGGCCGAAGCAACTGTGAAAGAAATTAAATACGTGCAAATATATGTAAAATATATGCAAAATTGTTAAAAAAAAACCTACTCTTCTACATCATAAAAGCAGCCATTAACATTCATACCAACTGGTACCCTTGTTGGGAGGCCTAGCCCAGAGTGGAGAGAAGAGAGGCCAAAGATCAAATAGGTGTGGATTCTGGTGGAGAGGAGATGATTTTTGTTTTTATAAGATTTCCAGGAGAGGGGTTGTCTCGTCTGTTTGTATTGCACTCAGCTCCCCATCCCACTAAGACCTTTGGGTGTTACCTTTCTATAAATGTTTGTTGATGATAATGCCTGTGTTTTTACCTCTTCTTGGGATAAATAGAAGAAGTCAGTTTCCCGGGTTCTCAGTGCTTGCAAAAGGTATCATAACAAGTTTACATAATTATTCGTACTGTGGCAGTCCTCACAATGTGTTAGGTGCCTTCCAAACACAAAACAGGACACAGTCTTTGCCCCAGGATCTTACAGTCTAATCAGACAGTCAGGTAGAGAAGATGAAATACGAATTCCAGATATTCTTCCTTTGAATAACTATCTGCTACCCTCAGCTGCCCCTGCCTAGCAATTAACTGGAGTTTCAGTAGAAATGGACCTTAAGGAGAAGTTTGCTGGGGGGGGGGGGTTGTTTGTTTTGTCAATCCCAAGGGTATTTGTGAAATGAAATTAATTGGGTATGGGAATCCTCTGTTCTGAATCGTAACCAGGGAAGAATTTTATGGTCTGATTATGAACCCTGAAAATAGCATAAAATTAGGTTTATATAGCTCCCTTCATACTCCGGTTATTCCAAAGTGCCTTATAACAATAAGTTAGAGAAAGGGTACTGCAGAGACCGTTATGTTCTCTGAGTAGCGCACAGCCTTAAGCATTAGAAACTTGTACTATAGAAGGGTATGTTAATATGTTACAGCAATGTAAGTAGGGGATTATAATAGAAATACCAATCAAAATTCACCTGCAGAGGCATTGGAATATGCCACTGTAATTTCTCGGCTGTATTTTGGGTTCCAATATGCCCAGAATAACCAGTGGAGAATTACAGTATGAGTTCTCATCATACACAGAGAAAAATATGTATTCCCATTGCCTATCATGTATAAGCCTCACTAGATAAGTGTTTAAGGAGTTCACTATACATTCTAAGGGAGTATAGGGAAATAAATACATTCTGCTTTGACCGGATTAATAGTAGTAATAATACCTAGCTCTTGTACAGCAGTGTACATCTGTAAATATCAAGGTGCTTTACAAAGGAGGTCTGTATCATTATTCCCATTTTACAGTTGGGGAAACTGAAGCTCAGACCGGGGAAGTGATTCAGACCAATGGCAGAACTGGGAATACAGCTCGGTTATCCAGAGTCCCATGCCAGGACCCTCCCCCACTAGAACACACTGTCTCTTAGAAGAGGAGAATTTTGTTCTCTCTTGCTGATGCTGTTAAAATATCATTCAAGATCTTATTGAAAGATGTTTGTTTGACAGGATTTTAGGGGGAGGCTCAGGGTTTGCTTACACTAGCAATAAAGGGGTGGAAAGAAGTTTTTGTAGGTGGCTGGTTCAGCTTCTGTTGAATTGATTATTTTAATGCTGCTGAGATTTAATTGTATTACTGGCATGTTAGGGCGCCTAGAGCTTTGGAGAGTGGTGTTTTAATTATTAATTAAGTTGAAATAACTAAATAGTCTCTTCAGCAATCATCTCAGCTTTCTTTTAACAGAGAATGTTTGGTGATTTTTCCCCTCTCCCCACCAACAATAGTTTAATTTGTTTCTCAGAATAGTTTCCAAGTACAGTTAAAATAAATGTATCAATGTGACACAATGTTCTCATGCAGTGTAGGAGAGACAAATGGCTATGAATCTGACCCCAAGTAATTAAACTAATGAGATTTGAACTCCAGCAAATCTTTTCAGATAATCTTTGGGAGGTGTGAATTTATGTTGTTTTAAATTTAAAAAGAAAACAACCCATGTATTAGAATGGGATTAAATGTAACAAGTCATCTTTGCCTTAGCCTCAGTGTGTTTAGGCATTTTGGCACAACATAGAGTCTCTAAATACTGGTGATGTTACATGTTTCTGCCCTTCTTGACAAATGGATGGAGATATTGTGGCACAAATGATACAGAACACAGTTACAACTGCAAATGACTGGATGGCTTAAGTGGATCCATTCCAGAGTAACAGAACCTGTAGGTTACCAGTTAATATCTAGCTTGGGTCAGTAGTACCAAAAAGCCTTTCCTGTCTAATGGCTGTTTAGTAACATACATGAACTGAATTTGGTCCCAGTTCAAATCCCATTGGGCAGCTTGTCCACATGATGAAAGCCAACCTTCTAATGGGTATTACCGGGCTCCCTTGCTTGCCTATCTCAGCAGAAGGGCCAGTTATTGAATGCA